GTGTGTCAACAACAATACAAATGCTAATTTAAACGATTAAATGATATCCAGATTAAATGCTAACTTGTCAGAAATTGTGTAAAATAATGCAAATTAAATTATATTAAATAGTATCTGTCCCTGTTTCTGCTTGTCACTATAATATGTGAATAAATTAATCATTGTATGTTTTATGTAACTATTAACAGCAATCTATACAAAAAAATGTGCTTATTCTAATTTACAAATATGTGCGAGATCCATCTCATGTTTCAGCTTTCTTTAGAAAACATCAATTCATGTTATCTGATCTAAAGTCAATCTTTATATTTTAACAATATTACAGGCTTGGGTGGGATGGGGGCTTGGGGTTTGCTTCTCCCAAGCAGAGCTTTTGTGTATTTGGGAATCTTTGAAGAAACTAAATTTCTGCAAGTATGCACTAGTTTTCAGAAGAATTGATTTAAGAAAAAAAAAGTAAATATAAAAAACTGCCTTTGCGAACTTTTAGAGGTGTGTTCAGGCAGGCATAAATGAATGTCATATTGAATAATGTACAGTTGGGATGATAATACAGACAATCTTATGTACCAAAAGTTATAGGATATTAGTGTGAAATGAAATTGTTTATTGTACAATATAAAGAATGTGGCACAGGAGGTGGAGGAAAAGACAGTAATTACATGGAAATGCCTGTAGGGTCTGTTTATACTCACCAGCACAACTATATTAAGCTGCAGTTGTTCTGGTGACTATACAGGTGATACTCGAAAAATTAGAATATCGTTCAAAAGTTCATTTATTTAAGTAATGCAACTTAAAAGGGGAAACTAATATATGAGATAGATGCATTACATGCAAAGCAAGATAGTTCAAGCCTTGATTTGTCATAAGTGCGATGATTGTGGCTTACAGCTTCTGAAAACCCCAAATCCACAATCTCAGTAAATTAGAATATTACATGCAATCAATAAAACAAGGAGTGTACATCGAACAATATCGGACCTCTGAAAAATATAAGCATGCATATGGACTCAGTACTTGGTTTGGGCCCCTTTTACAGCAATTACTGCCTCAATGCGGCATGGCATGGAAGCTATCAGCCTGTGGCACTGCTGAGGTGTTATGGAAGACCAGGATGCTTCAATAGAGGCTTTCAGCTCTTCTGCATTGTTCGGTCTCATGTCTCTCATTTTTCTCTTGGAAATGCTCCATAGATTCTCTATGGGTTCAGGTCAGGAGAGTTTGCTGGCCAGTCAAGCACAGTAATCCCACGGTCATTGAACCAGGCTTTGCTGCTTTTGGCAGGCCAAGTCCTGCTGGAAAATCAAGTCAGCATCCCTATAAAGCTCGTCTGCGGAAGGAAGCATGAAGTGCTCCAAAATCTCCTGGTAGACGGCTGCGTTGACCCTGGACTTAATGAAGCACAGTGGACCAACACCAGCAGATGACATGGCTCCCCAAATCAACACAGACTGTGGAAACTTCACACTGGACTTCAAGCATCTTGCAGTGTGTGCCTCTCCATTCTTCCTCCAGACTCTGGGTCCTTGGTTTCCAAATGAGATGCAAAAGTTGCTCTCATCAGAAAAGAGGACTTTGTACCACTGAGCAACATACCAGGTCTGTTTGTCTTTAGCCCAGGTAAGACGCTTCTGATGTTGTTTGTTGTTCAGAAGCGGCTTGACAAGAGGAATACGACATCTGAAGCCCATGTCAAGGATCCGTCTGTGTGTGGTGGCTCTTGATGCACTGACTCCAGCCTCAGTCCACTCCTTGTGAAAGTCCCCAACACTTTTGAATGGCCTTTTCCTGACAATCCTCTCCAGGCTGCTGTCATCCCTGCTGCTTGTGCACCTTTTTCTTCACACTTTTTCTCTTCCACATAACTATCTATTAATGTGCTTTTATACAGCACTTTGGGAACATCCAAGTTCCTTCGCAATTACCTTTTGAGGCTTTCCCTCCTTATGGAGGGTGTCAATGATGGTTTTCTGCACATCTGTCAGATCAGCAGTCTTCCCCATGATTGTGATTCCTACTGAACCAGACTGAGAGACCATGTAGAGGCTCAGAAACCCTTTGCAGGTGTTACGGCTTACTTAGCTGATTAGAGTGGGACACTGTGAGCCTAGATTATTGCACCTTTTCACAATATTCTAATTTACTGAGATTGTGGATTTGGGGTTTTCATGAGCTGTAAGCCATAATCATCACACTTATGACAAATCACGTCTTGAACTATCTTGCTTTGCATGTAATGCGTCTATCTCATATATTAGTTTCCCCTTTTACGTTGCATTACTGAAATAAATGAACGTTTGCACGATATTCTAATTTTTCAAGTATCACCTGTAGTGTCCCTTAAAGTGTCCAGTTTCGGATGGCTGCAGTCACACACCACATGACTAGCAGTGCCCAAACCTGGGAGTGATTAATAGAGGTGAGCGGACACCGGGATGTTTGGGTCCGGCGGGTTCGGCCGAACTTTGAAAAAAAGTTCGGGCTCGAACTTGACCCCGAACTTAACCCTGAATCAGAGCCCCATTGAAGTCAATGGGGACCCAAACTTTTGGCCACAAAAATGCCTCTAAAAAACTCCTGGAAAGAGCTAGAGAGCTGCAAAAGCAAGTAAAATGGGGGTAAGAGTAGGACAAGTGCCCTGCAAACAAATGTGGATAGGGAAATCACTTAAAATAACATAAAAATAAAAAATACAGCTGAGCCATAAAATAGCACTAGATGGAATCTGTGATTTTAGCTTTGGAAGAACATAAATCAAAATCTAAAGCATGGCTGTCAGGAGGATCACCAGAATTATCCATTTGAGAGAGGGTTGGAGTGCAGGGTATTCTCTTTCAAACTGAGCTCAACTGCATGGAGAAAGGGCCTTCACAGGCCTCTGCTAATGTGTACATAGTTTATACTAAGTGACCCATAGGTTGAGGAGGCGGTGACCGTGGCGGTGTAGGTGGAAGCAGCGGTTGAGGAGGAGGTAGCCAACACTGTTTTTTATATATATATATATATATATATTTTTTAATTGGGGCAGCCCCCAAAATATTGGGACATATAAAAAAGAAACAATTGCGGCCTGCGGAGCATTTCTTGCAGTCCTGATGCATGGAGAAAAGGCCTTCACAAGCCTCTGCTAATGTGTACATAGTTTATACTAAGTGACCCATAGGTTGAGGAGGCGGTGACCGTGGCGGCGGAGGAGGAAGCAGCGGTGGAGGAGAAAGATGAGGTAGCCAACACTGTTTTTATATTATATATATATATATATATTTTAATTGGGGTAGCCCCCAAAATATTGGGACATATAAAAAAAGACAACTCTCTTCCACAGAGTAACTGTTGACATTATAGTTGTGCAGGAACTTTGTTGACTCTAGAGAACCTCGGACAAATCGCACATCCCCACAGCGGCGACTTTCCATGCGGATGTCATCCATATCAACTTTTAAATGCCAGTTTCTGCGCCTACCATGGTGACCACGGGTAACGGGGAATCATTCCGAGCAGGGACCCTGAGAAACGGCTACCACATGCAAGGAAGGCAGCAGGCGTGCAAATGACCCACTCCTGACGCGGGAAGGTAGTGACGACAAATAACAATACAGGACTCTTTAGAGGCCCTGTAATTGTAATGAGTCCACTTGAAATCCTTTAACTCTGATCAATTGGAGGGAAGTCTGGTGCAGAGCCACTGACCTGTGTGGGCTGCTGCTGAAACTCCACTATCGCCTGCTGCTGCTCGCACAGTCTCATGAGGCAGTGAGCGGGAAGGCCGAAGTTACGCTGCAGCGCAGGCAGGTCAGCAGCAGCAGGGTGACAACGCCAAAAGCGTGCACAGCCCCTACAGTGAGTGTCACATCCTGTTCCAAGTTGCGGATCAGTCTGGTGATGGCTTCTGGTATCCAGTACTCTTTTTACTGAAGCTGCATCAGGGTCCTGGTATGTGGCCGCACAAACGCTGGTGTTCAACACCAGGGAACGTGCAGTTACCCTGCACCAGACCCTGCTAATCCATTCCACACTCTGACTCCTAACTTCAACATCAGGCATACTGGGTCCCGGTCGTCCGACCGCCGCCCAGACAGTGTCTGGGTCCTGGTCACCGGACTGCCCACCTGACTGTGAAACTACAAATGGATCATTATATCTGGTACAAACCCGAACTTTGCAGTTCGGGTTCGCTCAACTCTATTATGAATCCTTTGATCGCTACATGTATTACTTGGATAACTGGTAATTCTCAAGCTAATACATGCCGACGAGCGCTAGGGGATGGCCGCTACGCTTTTGCACCCTGCTCCCTCTAATGCTGTGCTGGTGCCTCTGTGCGACCAGCGCCTCTACTTCCAAACTGCACATGTCACTTGCATGACCTTGATTCCATGTGGGGTGTAGGACCTCATCATCCTCCACAACATCTTCCACCCATTTCTCAACCTTGCCCTCCTTGCCAGTATGCACACCTGGCCGGACTGGCCATCGGGCACACCGGGCAAATGCCCGGTGGGCCGCGGTGGCCATGGGCCGAGGCCGGCAGGGGAGCTCCCAGGATCTCCCCTGCCGGTCTATGCAGGGCCGGCACTATCCGAGCGCCGGCCCCGCTGTTTTCCATGAAGGGCCGGTGAGGGAAATCAAAGATCTCCCTCACCGGCCCACATGCTGTATAATGCGGCAGCGGGCAGGGGGAGAGGGGGGGAGACAGCCGCTAGGAGAGAGGACCCGGCGGAGCTCTAAATTAGAGCTCCGCCGGGTTCCTCTCGCGAGATCCGGCGCGTTGCCATGGCAACGACCGGATCTCACCACAAGGACCACCAGGGAACCCCCAGTCCCAGGGATCAGTGTGCCGGTCCCCCCCTCCCAGGCTAAAGGTAAGAAGGGAGGGGGGGACATAATGCCTACTTTATTTATTTAACCCTCCTCCCCCCTACACACACAATCCATTCTAACATTTATACAGCACTCTCGCACCCATCACTCTCACACACAGCACTTTCTCACACACAGCACTTTCTCACACACAGCACTCTCTCACACCCATCACTCTCACACACAGCACTCTCTCACACACAGCACTCTCACACACACAGCACTCTCTCACACACAGCACTCTCTCTCACAGCACTCACACACAGCACTCACACACAGCACTCTCTCACACACAGCACTCTCTGACACACAGCACTCTCACACAGCACTCTCACACACAGCACTCTCTCACAGCACTCTCACACACAGCACTCTCTCTCACAGCACTCTCTCACACAGCACTCACACACAGCACTCTCTCACACAGCACTCTCTCACAGCACTCTCTCACAGCACTCACACAGCACTCTCTCACAGTACTCTCACACACAGCACTCTCACACACAGCACTCTTTCACACAGCAGTCTCTCACAGCACTCACGCACTCTCACACACATAGCACTCTCACACAGCACTCTCTCACACAGCACTCTCACTCACGGCACTCTCACACACATCATACACAGCACTCTCACACTCATCAGACACACACACATCACACAGAGCACTCTCACACACCGCACTCTCACACACATCACACACCGCACCCCTCAGACACACATACTGCACCCCTCACATACACACAGAACCCCCTCAACACACTGCACCACATACATACACAATACTTCCAAATATATATTTATATATATACACACACACTACACTCTTAACATACACACTCTGGATCCCCTATACACACACTAGATTCCTTGTAAGCAAACACATACTACACCCCTAAACATACACTACATCACCTATATACACACACACACACACTATAGCCTGTATGCACACACTTGCTATATCCCCAATACACACATTCTCTACAGCCCCTAGCCACATATGCATCACATTACACCACAAACACAACATGACTAAAACCAACCTTATTACACAATACCGCACCACAATCAGCTCACTCTACACACACGCAATACCACAAGCAGGCTCCAAACACATGCACAATACTCTTTCCTGGCATTTTTGTTTCCTGGTATCTTTATAGAGACACCAGAGACAATTTGCAAGGAAACACAGTGCAAGCATGTTATTAAATTTGCTTTCACTGTGCAGAACAAATACAGGGCTTTTTTCTCATGCTAGAGCTCTTCAGCAGAGCTCTGCGCATGGTCTGCCCTGGAAGAGCATTGAACCAACATGCTCACTTTGAGAGGGGGCGTGTTTGTCATTGGTGATGACAAAACACACCTCCTCTGCCCCCGCCCCCTTCTTAGTGGGCCGCTGTGTTAAAAAAATGCCCGGGCCGAATTTTTCTCCCAGTCCGGCCCTGATGCACACTGCAAAAAAGCCACAGCAGTTGGCGCCTGTGTTTTTCCTGCATGTAAAGACTGCAAAGGACATATGGAGATTGTTTTAGAATTTCCTCCAGGCAACAGTTTTCCCTATAAACTGACCTCTCAGTTTGACTTGTGAGGGTATTGCCCCACAATTACAATATTGTTGAAGTACCTATTGATCACTGGTTTAAATATAGCAGCTTGTTATCTGGTAGTTTCTAGCTTCTATTTGACTCTCAGACATGAAGTGCACCCCACTAATGTATTAGTTTGCAGAATTCTTTCCTAAGCTGTCCCTATCAGCGGCAGCATCCTCTCCCTACACTAATAAGACCGCATGTGCGTGCCATGCTAGGCAACTCCAGCTTATATATATAGGCTGGGTCACATGCTGCACTGGCCAATCACAGCCATGCCATTAGTAGGCATGGCTGTGATGGCTTCTAAGGGCACACGAGTCAAACGCTCCTCTCTCTCCGCCTCCGATCCTCCTCTTCAGCTGAATGCGCATGTGCGGCAGGAGCTGCGCGCGCATTCAGCCGGTCTCATAGGAAAGCATTTACAATGCTTTCCTATGGACGCTTGCGTGCTCTCACTGTGATTTTCACAGTGAGAAGCACGCAAGCGCCTCTAGCGGCTGTCAATGAGACAGCCACTAGCGGATTTGGAGGAAGGCTTAACCCATTTGTAAACATAGCAGTTTCTCTGAAACTGCTATGTTTATAAATAAAATGGGTTAACCCTAGCTGGACCTGGCACCCAGACCACTTCATTAAGCTGAAGTGGTCTGGGTGCCTAGAGTGGTCCTTTAATATTTTTTGCACTAGCTCATAACATGTAATCTACTTCTGAAATTCACGTTTAATTTCGGACAATTTATACTTTAGCGTATAACCCCGATGTTCTGGCTAGTTACGCTTAGAAGGCTATTGGCCGGAAATAATTTAGATTAAACATGAATGATACAGTGTATAACAAAATTCCCCTTTGGTATGTATTTAATGTAGTTTTACCAGCAGGGGTCACTATAACAGAACATATTAATCTACAGATCTGTTTATTGCGACCAACTCATATAAATCTTTATTAAATATTAATTATTATAATTATTATTTTGTTATTTATATAGTGCCAGCAAATTCTGTAGCGCTGTACAATGGGATGGTAGTAAACAAGCTTAAACATGGTTAGATATGATTAGATATGGTTAGATAAAATATTTCTGGGAAAAATGATAAACATATATGTACCTGACAATAATGCATAATATAAAAATGTGATTTAAAATACATTTTTTCCTAATTCTGTTTGCAGTTTTCTATTTGTTTATTTATTGTTGTGCAAATAATGGGCTATTTAACCTTATGGGCAATGTTCACCAAGACACGTCATCAAAGGCGTCAAAATAAAAATATAAGAGAGAGAGAATACATGCACCAGAAAACCTCATAGTCTGCATTGCAGGTATTTTGTCACTGAAAACACCCCTATTTCGGAACTCCTACCACCTTGGGTGATGCTTCTCTTATTACAATTGCTTCCCTCACGTCCCTTGCCTGCATAACCCATCACTGTCGGGATCCTGCGGGTGGCTGCGAGGGGAGGCTGCACTCCGCTCGCGGTACTCACCCTCCAGCCGTCCGCGGTATCTTCCGCCTCATGGGCTCGGCGAGCGGCATCCTTCCAGCCTCGGATGCCGCCCGCGTTTTCCTCCTCGTCCCCCAGCGGCAGCATGCATGACGCTGCACGCTGGGAGACCGCCCAATATATTACACGCCGGGGTCAGTCACCTGACCCGGCGTTAAAGGCACAGTGCCTCAATCACAGTGGGAGGTTTAGATATCTCCCACGTGTGATTGTTAATTCTGATTGAAAATGATCCAATCAGAATTAACCTTATGGTTTAAATACTTACCTTTCCTGTTCCTCCCTGCCCTGTTGTGGTCTTTACTTGCTAGTATTGCTACTTACCTTGTGGTTCTGGTTACGTACTCTCTGGCTTGTTTATCTGACTCTGTGACTTTCTCCTACCCTTTGACCTCGGCTTGTTTCACGTTATTCTGTCTTCTGGTTCCCTTACTCGGCTTGTCTCCTGACTATTCTGTGTGTGCTTAGCCCGGCCACTCTAAGGTCCGGTACTGCACCTTTTCTGTGTGTGTGTGTTAGCGTGTTGGGTTCCCAGAATCGTGACAATCACACTCTCTCTTCCACTGTTCACTTGTTCCACACACAACCTTACTAGCTTACTTCGACACAGGCATCCTATCAATCAATCCCTCCTCCCCTCCGACATGCTGTTCTTTCTCTTGTGTTTTCTTATCCCTTCCTCACATATTGTAAAGCAGGGCCTCTTCACCTCGTGCCTGTTAATATTTTGCATACAATTTCTTTTTTTCCTTATTCTATAATTGTAATAATATGTAATAATAATAATAATAATAGGTCCCTTCTGTATGAAATACACAGAAACCTTAGACATGTTTTGGCCTCTTGTCTAGAACATGTCCGTGATGTGCTGTAGCTGAGACCCCTCTAGACACAGTGAGTAAGGGGGTCCCATCTTGATTACTCTTCAGACTGATGCATTTTCTCCGAGTTTTTCCATGAACTGACAGAGAACGGACACACTTTGCCAAGAAACACAAGAACTGAATTGATGGAAAATGAATTTATTTCAATAGGCAAAGTGCATTAGTCAGAGACACGCTTTACTCATCAGAAAATAAAAACTTTGTGCAGTTTGCAGAACATTTCCTACCTTTTTTGGTAAAACCTTTGGTAAAAAAGAAATAGTTTTGAAATAATCTTCTCTGCAGTCTAGACACTTGATTTGTGGGCAAAAATCATCATTAATTCCTCATATATTAATCTGTATTTCTTCAATTTACAAGTAATATACATATATTTAAATATAGTAAAGTGAATTCTAGTTCTGGATACAGTATCTCGCAGCCATTGAACACGTGGAGAGCTAGTCAGCTGTAAGAAAAGCTGCAAATATTAGATGCACGTCCTTTCTATGGCTGCTTCAAATCAATCATGTGCTTTTGTGTCCCCGTTCTGAGACTTTTCATTGAGAAAATGTGCTTTGTGCCCTTGAATATTCTTCATTTATTTCTCAGTAACATAAAAAAATCATCAGCGCTTAGTATCAAGCGCACATTACCTCTAGCCATAACAAAATAGTCATTCCTCATAAGGATAAGCATATTTGAATGATTTTCTCTGACTGACTTTGAAAGGTCAGCACAAACTCTTAAGTTTTACTTATCATTTTCCCTGCTGTTCGACTTTTTTTGCTCACGGTATTGCACTTTTTTGTACTTGCTTTTCTTTTTTTTATTTTGAGTCCTGCTACTTTGTTTAGCATAAACCACAAGAGATGCAATGCTATAGACTAGCGCTGCCATGAGACTCTCTTGTTTCCACATTTAGATGATCCAGTAATCCTCAGTTTAAGTCATGAAGTACCATTTCCCATCGTTGACTGATGGCCATGGTCTCGCAAGGATTAATGACGATCTCTCGGTTGTTGTCTTCGGAGTCACCAATAATTTCCGTATCTAGGCAGAAGCGAGATGCCATGTGCTCAATGTGAGAGCCAACTTTAGTCCATCGCTGAGGGAGAGAAATATAGTAGAAATTACAAGTGAAACATTCAGATACAGAGCTGCCGAATTGTTTCTTGTACAGTACTAAGTCATATTTATTTACTTTCTAAATATTTATAACAGGAAAGACACATTGAGTTTTCTCTTGTTTCAAATATCTATAGTAATTAAAGTGAACCTTTCATGACGAATATAGGTTTGCAATTTTCTAACAATCTTGGCTCATGTTAAATAATTAATTAATCCCTTAACTCTAGTAAAAGCTCACATTTTATTTATTTCCATTACCCCGTCTCCTGCTGAGACCATTAAACATGTTTCAGTGGGTGTTACACTTGCTGCAAGACAGACCTCATTCTAAAATAGGCACTATGGAAGCCTTGGACTGCCGGCAGCAGGGACACAGCTGGTTGTTTTAATACAGTGAGTTGATGCTATATGCCAAATGGCAGTCCCCTATTCATAAAAATGATCTTGAAGATTTTCAGAAAGTGAATATTATGGGCATTAGAAAGCCTCAATCAAAAGGGAATCAACCAGTAAAGGAGGAGACTATATTTAAAAGAAGAAAAACTACCACAACAAGAGGACATAGTCTTAAATTAGAGGGACAAAGGTTTAAAAATAATATCAGGAAGTATTACTTTACTGAGAGGGTAGCCTTCCAGCTGAAGTGGTAGAGGTTAACACAGTAAAGGAGTGTAAGCATGCGTGGGATAGGCATAAGGCTATCCTAACTATAAGATAAGGCCAGGGACTAATGAAAGTATTTAGAAAATTGGGCAGACTAGATGGGCCGAATGGTTCTTATCTGCCGTCACTTTCTATGTTTCTATGCACCTCCCAATGCTTTCTAAAGGAGGCAGGACAGCACTGCGGAGACCAGTGCTAGCGTGAGATGAGGTAAGTCAAATCACTGTTCTCCTTCACAGAGTCCTGTAAACTAACTAGTTCTAAGGGAGCATTAGGAATACATGTTTGTATTCCTGACGTTATAATGTTCCTTTACCTGTCAAATCCGTAAAAACAAAATAGGCATAGACTTTCCTTTCCTCTTTAATCTTAAATTTTAATCTGCCACCGCCCCTCCCCCCCACCCAAAATAATATATTTAATATCTCATAACGATGAAAAGTTTTCACTGAAATTCTAGTGCATTCAAAGATATCATAAGACAAAGCAGGTAATACTTTATCCTAACCATTGTACCTACAGCTGACAGGAGCTATCAAGTTTTGCCCTTTTACCCAGCAGTCACTAGTAACAGCTGTGAAGACAAAATCATTGTTTATGGAGGCTCCAACAGTCTACAGTTGTACTTTTGTGCATGTGAGTCATGTGCATCAGTGTGTGTATCTGTATGTCTGCCCATGTGTGTGTATATGTATCTGTATGTCTGTCTTTCTTGTATCTGTATGTCTGTTTGTGTATTTGTATGTATGTCAGTGTGTGTATCTGTATGTCTGTCTGTGTATTTGTATGTCTGTCTGTGTATTTGTATGTCTGTCAGTGTGTGTATCTGTATGTCTGTCTGTGTATTTGTATGTCTGTCAGTGTGTGTATCTGTATGTCTGTCTGTGTATTTGTATGTCTGTCAGTGTGTGTATCTGTATGTCTGTCTGTGTATTTGTATGTCTGTCAGTGTGTGTATCTGTATGTCTGTGTATTTGTATGTCTGTCAGTGTGTGTATCTGTATGTCTGTCTGTGTATTTGTATGTCTGTCAGTGTGTGTATCTGTATGTCTGTCTGTGTATTTGAGTGTCTGTCAGTGTGTGTATCTGTATGTCTGTCTGTGTATTTGTATGTCTGTCAGTGTGTGTATCTGCATGTCTGTCTGTTTATTTGTATGTCTGTCAGTGTGTGTATCTGTATGTCTGTCTGTGTATTTGTATGTATGTAGTGTGTGTATCTGTATGTCTGTCTGTGTATTTGTATGTCTGTCAGTGTGTATATCTGTATGTCTGTCTGTGTATTTGTATGTCTGTCAGTGTGTATATCTGTATGTCTGTCTGTGTATTTGTATGTCTGTCAGTGTGTGTATCTGTATGTCTGTCTGTGTATTTGTATGTCTGTCAGTGTGTGTATCTGTCTGTCTGTGTATTTGTATGTCTCTCAGTGTGTGTATCTGTAAGTATGTCTGTGTATTTGTATGTCTGTCAGTGTGTGTTTCTGTATGTCTGTCTGTGTATGTATCTGTATGTCTATCTGTGTATTTGTATGTCTGTCAGTGTGTGTATCTGTATGTCTGTCTGTGTATTTGTATGTCTGTCAGTGTATTTGTATGTATGTTAGTGTGTGTATCTGTATGTCTGTCTGTGTATTTGTATGTCTGTCAGTGTGTATATCTGTATGTCTGTCTCTGTTTTTGTGTATCTGTATTTTTATATGTAATATTTTACCTTTCCATGGAAAGTAAGGTGCTAAAAACCTATCTGTGGCCAAAAGAAGTTTAGCCTATTTGAATTTTGGCCCCTATCTACTGCCAAGATGTGTGGTTTATACATTTCCATGTGTGATTACATGAACATAATTTTCTATTGACTTTTAATATACCATATCCCAGTTTATTAATGTCTACTTTGAAGAACACAATTTGCTATTTTTTGAATTTTTTGGTCAAAACAAATGTGTCAGTTTCTTATAAAAAAAAAATACAACAATGCATGTTTAACATTTTTCAAATTAAAATTATATGTGGGAAGAAGGCATGTGGTGGGACGGATGCATTAAATTAAATACCTGCTTGCCATCCCCCTCTCTGCAGGGCAGGAGAATGACTTGAGTCCCTGGAAATAAGGTGTGCACGGATAGGCAGAGTTTCTGTTGGCTGATCTGCTGGTCCTGAGTATAAATCCATTCCTGAAATACAATATCGATATCTGTAATATGAGACGATGAACTGATTAAGTGCAGTAGGGCATACCTTGCCTTTTGCCATGTCCATATGTGACATCATTGCATGTAATCCCTTCATTTCCCCCTTGGAAACATATGACTGTAAAGACTCTAGACAGGCAACTTTTGGCACTCCAGATGTTGTGGACTACATCACCCCATAATGCTCTTACATCCATAATGCTGGAAAAGCATTATGGGAGGTGTAGTCCAAAACATCTGGAGTGCCGAAGGTTGCCTATGCCTGCTCTAGGGGATCCACTATTCTTCCCTATGACAGTCCGCCCCACCAAGGCAACACTGCCCACTTGGGTTCTCCTGGGCCCATTATCTGGTTTTGTTCTATATTGTCACAAGGGATTTTTGATGTAGGTGGACAACTCCATGTCTCTGACCCTCATTACACCTCATGTCAGGAGTTCCCAGAACTGAATGCTCTGAATCAGGGCTGGAAAAACGGTCTATCCCCAGAACTTCAGCTGCCATGATGTTTTGTCAGCATGTAGAATTTAGAACACCTGGAGTCGATTTACTGTGTTCCCATCCCTACCCTGGATTCTTCTAGTGATGCGGTGGTCTTCTATGGACTATGAACAACGTTTAAAGGGGAAATGTCACGTTACAAGCAACAAGTCACAGATCTAGAAGTACAAAAGTTATATGAAGGCAGAATGACAATAAGTTACAGCATGATAAATAAGTAATCAGTCCCTTCTGCTGTCACATGATTGTGTAGGACAGATTGAGGATTAAAAGAGGAACTGTCACGCCCCAGGATTTTAAATATTATGTTTTCCTAACGCTATATTTAACAAATATGTATTTATGACGTGAAAAATTTAATATATGTATTAAAAGAGCAGCAACTCTTTATAATGCAAATGGGCGCCTCCATAGTGTAAAGCTTGAGTTACCAGTCTGTAGCCATCATTGTGACTGAGCCTGTGAATTTTAGTTTGTCTACATGTGTCCATTCTCATCATCACCCATCCAGAAAACTATTCAATGTATTTCAATGTATTTATAGTGGAGTTTGTCTGCAGTCCTTATGCCTATAAGATTACATCCACATCCAAGGAGAACATTATCTAAAACTGAAAAGTAACTGAAAACTGACTCATAATGTCTCATATCTCCAAGATCATTTTATGTTACCCATGGAAAAGCTGGCTAGGAGCGTTGGGGGTTATTGCCTCTTTGGACCACTGGTATAGGGAGGTGCATAGGCTGCAGACGTCTAGCACCTTCTTTTATAACAATAACAATATTAATTTATTATTTTTATATTCCATTTATTGCAGTATTAGTGTAAACAGTTAATCAAAATTAAGAAAGAGAGCAAGCTATGATGTAATAATGTGCTGGTTGGCCTCAGATTTTAAAATCTGTTTGTAACTGCCCTCACCAGGTCTAATGTAGTATGCCCTCCCTCCCCAGGTATTATTCATGCAGGTGATACATGCACACGTTATAGAATTGTACATACAGTTAATTTAAGGTTCTGTAGAAATATCTCTCTATAACTAGCTATCTACAGAAGAGGCTTTTACATAAATGGAACAGGCCTACAGTAATAATGGATACATTGTAGAAATGAACGCCACTGTTATTTGCCATATCAAAGGTATTGACTTATCCTTGTATCGTTTGAATGAGACTTGACGCAAACTAGGAGCATGCATACAGTATAAAGAAAAGTGAATTCATCCCTGCATATCTCCAAATTTAAAACAAATGACACCATGAAAGGCATTTGTAATGTGGCACTATTTTTCTTACAATACATACTGCGCATTTCACGTTACAGAATCCGTAAGCGATTGAAAGTCAGACTGCTCTGCCACGTCTGTTGGTAATCTTCTCAAATTTATGCTCGTCTGCAACTTGTTTGCTATTTTATGGTAAGTGTGACAGCCTTCTAGGAATTGGTCGTGATAAATCGTCAATGAAAAGGCATTTATAAAATGAATTTTTAACAGTGAAATCAATTTGAAATACACATTTTCACTCTGTCAGACCTGATGCTCCTTGCAGGAAGATAGAAATGAAGGCAGAAGATATCCGTTGGCAGTAATTATTAAGCTAATCTAGCAAACACATTTGTTTCGCCACAATAAACCTTGCTGTTAAGAGCTGAATATATTTGACAGCACCATAAATACATTGGAGACTGTTATTTCTTTCATCATTTGTTTTATACAGAATTGCTTTTTAATTTATAGCTACTCTCTCAATTCTAAGCATTTTATTATAATTTATCTCATCTTATTCTATTTCTTTTACTTGTGAATCACAAAAGCGGGCGTACAGTATGCCACGCACATATACAAACAAGGACACACTGACACATAAACACACGCACACACTGTACTGCTTGCAGTGACAATATATCGTTATTTCTTACATGTGATATCCCATTTACTTCACGCCTCTCTGTGTCTGTAATGCTTTTAGTTGTTTTTTTTAAATTGATTGTAGTTTGACATGGCAGTTGGTTGTAACTCACAGCATTCTCTTATTGCGATTCTACCATCTGCACAGTTTATATAGAGCTCACTGGGAGCTCAGATGACATTGGTGGTGATCTAATGTGATGCGTCAGGTAAGGACAGCTAGAGAGAAACCTCTCTAGCTATACTGCTAATTAATTATGGAGAGAGGCTGCAGGGCCCGCAGACCTGGGGTTCGTTTATAGATACCCCAGAATATTATGTCATTGCTAAAAGATCAATAGATAGATATCTAATATTTTTACAAACATCATAAACAGTGCTCCAAGCGTGGTCTACCCTGAAGGGGCAAACTGTCACTGAACCTGGCCACCCTTTGTAAGAATGGACCTGGCTCTTTGACGGGCAGACCCAACACTTCCACAGTGTCCTCTGCAGCCTATTCCGTTGCCTAGAGCAGAATGAGATGCTCCTTACTAGCAAAGCTTTTTACTGTTCCTTGCATTAGTAACAGAAGGTACTTTAAAGAAAGATCTTTTTTATAACACTCACACACACTAACTCCAACACTCACACACACTAACACTCACTCTTACACTCACTCACTCCAACACTCACACACACTAACTCTCACTCTTACACTCACTCACTCCAACACTCACACACACTAACACACACTCACTCTATCACTCACACACACTAACACTCACTCTAACACTCACACACACTAACACTCACACTCACTCCAACACTCACACACTCTAACACTCACTCTAACACGTTTTTTAATGTAATCCCCCCAGCCTCCTTACCTTTTGGAGTGCTGGAGGGATTCCCTGGGGTCCAGTGGTGCTGCTGGGCTCCTGGGCGGGAGGCCGGTCGGGAAGGCAGGCGGGCGCGCGAGGGAGCATTCAGTGCTTCCTATTCAGCTCCCTCGGGCGCCCCGTGGGGATGCCGGAGCCGGAAGATGACGTCATCTTCCGGCTCCGGTATCAGTGCGGTGCGCGAGGGAGCTGAAGAGGAAGCACTGAATGCTCCCTCGCGCGCCCGCCTGCCTGCCCGACTGGCCACCCGCCTTCCTGGTGTCAGCAGGGCCAGCCTCGGGGGGGCCCTGGGGAGGTCGGTTCCTGGGCCCCCCAGGGGAAGAGGCTGGCCCTGTGGGTACACACCGGGTTGCAGGGGCGGCCGGGCCCCCTGGTGGGCCGGGCCCGGTCGCAACTGCGACCCTGGTATGTACGCCACCGCCTATGGACATTACAGCTTGGTAAAGTTATATATTAAATATTAATATTTATAATGATATGCACTGCAAAATATCAACAGTTCATTTTTCCTGAGAGTTTCTCTGAATCCTAAGTACATCTGTGAACCGTATCCAACTTCTAGTAAGTCCCTCCACTTCAAGCCGGGTGCTACATTGTTACAGCAACAGATAAAGAGCTTATTAAAAAACAAATCATTGTGGAAGCTAAAAGCAATTTAAATGCAATGGACTCTTTAATAAATATAGTGGATGTTGGTAACTTCTCATTTGTCTTAGAGGAGACTGTGATAGACAATCTATTAATCTTTCACTGCTAGTAATGGGAAACAGGAATTAAGAACACGGCAGTCAAATGACACAAGCTGGTAAGCATACATTCGGAGCTAAATGGCTGACACAATGTCACTTTCATTTTATGGGATAATTGAAGGTCAGCCGAGGCTGCATAACCACTTTTGTAGGACACCACAAAACACCCAATGTAAAATAAGGAAATAGATTTTGACAAGAGCTCCTGATATTTACTTGTTGAGCACACAGAGAAATACTGAGGACAGTGTATAGCATTAGCAATTGTATACAATTAAGCAATATTTATATATTTAAAGTCCAATATATATTTAAAATATGGAATTAGACAGACTACAGAAAAAAAAAATATATATATATACAGTATCTCACAAAGTGAGTACACCTCTCACATTTTTGTAAATTTTATTATATCTTTTCATGTGACAACACTGAAGAAATGACACTCTGCTACAATGTAAAGTAGTAAGTGTACAGCCTGTATAACAGTAAATTTGCTGTCCCCTCAAAATAACTCAACACACAGCCATTAATGTCTAAACCATTGGCAACAAAAGTGAGTACACCCCTAAATGGAAATGTCCAAATTGGGCACAAAGTGTCAATATTTTGTGTGGAAACCATTATTTTCCAACACTATCCTAACCCTCATGGGCATGGAGTTCACCAGAATTTCACAGGTTGCCACAAGAGTCCTCTTCCACTACTCCATGGCAACATCCCAGAGCTAGTGGATGTTAGAGACCTTGTGCCCCCCACCTTCCATTTGAGGATGCCCCACAGATGCTCAATAGGGTTTAGGTCTGGATACATGCTTGTAACACTGGACTAACCAGTTGCGAGGCCTCCATGGATCAGATTTGTTGTTCCAGCACATCCCACAGATGATCAATCGTATTGAGATCTGGGGAACTTGGAGGCCAAGGCAACACCTTGAACTCTTTGTCATGTCCCTCAAATCATTTCTGAACCATGTTTTGCAGTGTTTCAGGATGCGTTATCCTACTGAAAGAGGAGACTGCTATCAGGGAACACCATTGCAAGGAAGGGATGTACGTCGTCTACAACAATGTTTAAGTAGGTAGTACGCATCAAAGTAACATCCAGATGAATGTCAGAACCCAATGTTTCCCAAAAGAACATTGCCCAGAGCATAATACTGACTCTGCTGGCTTGTTTTCGTGCTCATTTGTCTTGCTTCCAACATTTGAAATTCAAAAACTGACTGTTCACTTGCTGCCTAATATGACAGACCCCATGACAGGCACCACTGTAACAATATAGTCAGTGTATTATTTACTTCACCTGTCAGTAGTTTTAATGTTGGAGCTGATCATTATGTATTTATACATATCTTTCTGTCTCTCGTCATCCATGTCTATATTTGAATTGCGCATCACAATCCATAACTTTTGAACAAAACAACTAAATATAACAAATGTACCCACAAAAAAAGTGGATACAAAAATGGATAATGTAGCATGAATTTATTTTGTTCATATGAATAACAAAATACCTGAGATGTCGCAGAGGCTCCTTTAAGGCTACTGCATGGTACTAAATTAAGACCTTGTGGTTCCTGTCCATCGGCTTTCTGAGACTCAATACATCTCTGTCTTTGTCTGATGATTCCTGATTTTGACAGTGATTCCACTGGGATCCTGGAAGACAAATTTATTTGTAGCTGAAAATAAACTCCACTGTTTTCAATGTAATTTTTTTTTGAAAATCGCAAACCCTTATTAAAGGAACACTCCTAGCTCTGCAGTGGTTATGGTACAGGAATTGCCTTCATAAAAAAAGTTTCACTGTTAAACCGATCATGTAGCACAGAGCGTTTACTTTAGAAGCTCTATAAATTGAACTTTAATCACACACAGGAGGCCATTGCAGGGTTTAGAATGGTAATAACAGTCAAGAGATAAGACATTCTAAATTATGAATGCTTTGTTTAGGAAGGCTGTGCATATTACATGCAGGGAGGTGTGACTCCATGCATAAACAAACTGATTTAACTCCTAAATGGCAGAGAACTGAGCAGTGAGACTTCTTAAGCATTATTAAAGGGACACTATAGTCACCAGAACAACTACAGCTTATTGTATTTGTAGTGGTGAGTATAATAATTTGATTCAGGTTTATTGCAGTAAACACTGTCTTTTCAGAGAAAATGCAGTGTTTACATTACAGCCTAGGGATAACTCCACTATCCACACCTCAGATGGCTGTTAGAGGTGCTTCCTGGGGCAGTGCTGCACAGTGTGACTGACATTCAGTGTCTCCACCCTCTGCATGGAGACAATTAACTTTCCTCAAAGAGATCCAGTGATTCAATGCATCTCTATCAGGAGATGCTGATTGGCCAGGGCAGTGTTTGACTTGTGCTGACTCTGTCCCTTATCTGCCTCCATGACAGTCTCAGCCAATCCTATGGGGAAGCATTATGATTGGCTCAGAGATTCACTTCCAAAGATGTCAGAGACAGCAGCAGCAGACTTGAATACAAGTAAGATGTAACTATATTTAGATGGGGTAAGGAAAGGGACACTGGGGCTAGATGGTGGTTTTAACACTATAGGGTGGGGAATTCATTTTTGAGTTCCTGACCCTAAAGTGTTTATTTAAGCTAAAGTTGCTTTTGTGCCTCTAGCGTCCATTTAAATATGTATCCAAATATTCACAACAAATTAATAAAACAGAATTATAAAAATAATGCCTTCTAATTTGTTTTTAACAAGCCGAATACAGTTATAATTAATATCATGGTCATTAGCTAGGAATGGCACAGAGAGTGTAAATATTAAAAATATGAAGAACTCAGTATTGATTATAAACAATAATCAGTAATTCCATTACTACATATAACATTTGTATATCTAAATAAAAACACTTACTGAAGTTCTGGGTAAACATTTTCTAAATACCATTTAAACGTGTGACATTTCAAAATCTTCCTGAGTAACAATCTCTTCTGGATGCTAAAAAAATAAATAAAAAATATTGAAGATAAAGTTTATGACTTGTGAGAATGTTGCAGGCAGTCTCAGGATTCTGATATGTTATCACATAAATATACAAAAAAAAGTGCAAACCATAAAATAATATTTATATTATAAAAGTGGATTCAAGTAGGA